TTTATAAATGGAACAATACTCCTAAACATAGATAATGATTGAATAAGATATAAACGATAAAAAATACCAAATCCATGACCTGCTACATATAGTAGTAACACTCGGTAGAAATAATTTGATGATACTCACAGAAGATCAAAAACAACACCTTCTTTTGTACAATATGGATTAGCAAATGGTTGAAGTGACAAACTATAAAAGATGTATAATATTATTATATTACTTAGACACATATAAACATGTTTGCTATAAAAATTAATTATTAATTAATTAGTATAATAATTAAAGACTTTATTATTATTTTACTCCTTCTAACATCAGACTATTTTGCTCATCAAGAGGAGTGCATGAATGAGTTAATTAGCACACTGACAAGTTAATCAACATACTAACAAGTTAATGAGCACACTAATGAGTTAATCAGCACACTAACAAGTTATCAGCACACTAATGAGTTAATCAGCACACTGACAAGTTATCAGCACACTAATGAGTTAATCAGCACACTAAAGAGTTAATCTGCACACTAACGAGTTCATCAGCACACTAACAAGTTCATCAGCACATTAATGAGTTCATCAGCATAATAACAAGTTAATAGGCACACTAACAAGTTAATGAGCATGCTAATGAGTCAATTAGCACACTAATGAGTTAATCAGCAGACTAACAAGTTAATCAGTACACTAAAAAGTTAATCAGTACTAACAAGTTAATCAGCATACTAACAAGTTAATCAGCATACTAATGAATTAATTTTAATTAATACCCATTGTAATAGTTTTGTTTGTGGAAACACCACGTAAATTTATTACTGCAAAGCTTTCGATCCGTAAGCCCGGATCTTCATCAGTAGCACTGATGAAGATCCGGGCTTACGGATCAACACTGATGAAAATCCGGGCTTACGGAATGGAAAGCTTGGCAGTAATAAATTTACGTGGTGTTTCCACAAACAAAACTATTATATTTTTTATCGCCATGCAAACATACAAAGAACTTAATACCCATTGTGTTGTAATTTAAAGCAACTAACCTGCAACAGTAAAATGGCAATCTTCTGAAGGCAGCTTTGGCACCAACATCACTACCTACAAAAATTAATAAAAATTATTACAAAGCATCGGTTTTCCTGGTAGCTAATCTTAGTATTGCTGTGTACATGTGGACTGATTGTCTACACACACAATTATAGCATGTCTGTGTCGGAATAGGATGACCTATGCAGATAGTTGTGCCAGACTGTAAAGTATTATTTTTGCGCAAGGGACTTTTCGTCGTAAATGGCAGTTGCGCGGAAATGAAGGCAGAACATTTGAGAAAATTTCAAAAATTTGGAGTCTCAGCTAAATTCAGCTAACATTTCTGCGCGGGGAACCAAACTTTACAGTCTGGTAGTTGTCTTTTTACACAGACAAATTATCAAGCAAATTATAATTTACATGTAAGTATTTTAATACCAGACTCTTTTCCTCCCCACTCAGTCTTCCATTCCTTGTTTGTAATGTATCTAGTAGACAAGAACCATAATAGTTTTATATATATCCAGCCGCACAAATATCAGAAAATTTCACATTTATAAGACGTAAACAACGAGCCATTAAAGGTGTCATTTAGACACAACTGCATGTAATTATTACTCATATATCTTCTCTACTAAACTTACAGTTTATCCTTTTGATGCTGTCTTTTTCCCATGATAAAATGCGCTAAATTTCAGCCAATTTTGAAGGAGCAAAATTTGTAAAATAATATTTATGAGTTATGTATGTTTTGATTTGAACTCTCTTCGTGGTATCTTTCTTGAAGTATTACCCAAGTGTCTCACATACACGCTGACCAAAGCATCAAAAACCAAGATGGCGGACATGAAATCTATTGTAGAAACAAAATTAACGGAAGAATTTAGTCCTGTACATTTGGTAAGCGCTCTGCAGTGAAAGTGGTTCATATTCATGCCTCGATTTCAACCCTAATATAATTTTTATTGCTCCAAATTTAATATAGAATCATTCGCAACGGGCATTAAACCAGCTGGCTTTCCAGTTTTAAATGTAAAACTCCGCCAATTTTGTCTGTTTTAGGATGTGACTGACATTACTGCAGAGAAATGTGACACCAGTTTCAATGTGATTATTGTATCAGACAAATTTACAGGCAAACCGCTCTTACAAAGACACAGGATGGTCAATTCATGTTTAGAGGAAGAGTTGAAATCTATCCATGCTTTTACGATGAAAACACTCACACCAGAACAGTGGGAAAAACAAAAAACATGATTATGGTCTAATTTATGTACTAGTCAATCAACCAATTAATGATATAATTAGTGTACTAATGATCTAATTAGTGTTAGACTAATTAATGACATAATTAGTCTGGTTCTCAAGATAGATTACACCAAGGAACATGGTAATGAATCATGACAGAGTAGTTCTCAAGTAGACTAAGTAATTTTGTGTAAATATGAAAATTTTCAGGGAATAAATATTTGAAATGCTCAGTGTCAGTTTTCACTCGGCTTTGACTTTGAGTTACCCACATATAGCCCCTTTTGTGAAATAGTTCGTCTGATTATTCTTGTGAAACTGGCAAACTGAGACGTCCATCAAGACGAGCTATGTTACTAGCGACGAAATAACTCCAGATGAAGTAACTCCCAGAGTGTGATAATTCAAGATTTTTAGTCGTACCTGACTGGTACGCCAATGGTTGTTGAACTTGTTGCCGCGTATTTGAGCTGTTACAAACTCAATACTCGATGTCTATTTAGTCATTAAAATAAGGTTCATAAGGTACAGGTTTCTGAAAATACAGTATGTTCAGACTACGAGGTAGAAAAAGAAGCACAATTGCATATACAAACAATCGACTCCAACGTTTCTTAGTGCGATCAGTCTAATCATGTTTCATGCCAAGACATGTCAGACACATGCTATACTGTCTATTAGTCTATACTAACTATTAAAATTACGGTATTGAAAACCTTGGGCATGGAAAGTTCATGGGGTACCAGCAAAAAGTAAGTGCGCAGATAACAAGAGTTTCGCGTACCTACGTGGTACGTGGCTGAAAACAAAGAAGTACCAGACGGTCCAGACCGTAATATTGGACGCGAATTATCGCACCCTGGTACTAACTCCAGAAGTTAACTCCTGACGAAGGAGTTAACTCCTGACTATCTTCGAAATTCTCCTTATATTTTTCATGTAGTTGCATCTCTACCAACGAAAGCTTATTCATATTATTGGCACTACGTACACTGACCCAGACAGTTCAAGATCAGTGGCGTAACGCTCATTGGGTAGGGTTAGTTCAAAAACTAAGGCCCCCCGACAGTTAGCGACCCCATCAGCCACGGCCTATCCGCCCAGAAAATTAGAAAACGTAAAAATGCGGGTTAAGAATCAATGGGAAAATGCAAAATTAATAATGCTAAATAATAAAGCCTCCATCGACAACGGTAATAGCTGATCTTTCTATTCCATCTCAAATAAAACAAAAGTTATTCTTATTAGACAGTTGTTACATGTATTGGATATTGTCATTGTCATTGTTATAGACATGGAATTTTCCAGAACATTCTATAAATATTCAATATAAATATAATATCTCAGTCAAACAATTACAACAGTCAACAGGGGCCCCACACCAAATATGCCCAAGGGCCCCCTCTTCCTCCGTTTAATACGCCACTGTTCAAGATGGTTTCACTTAAGTACAATCATGCAACAAAGCCAAAGGATGGTCAACCGGCACGTCTGGCAGTTATCAAAGTGAAAAATAATGGCAGTTCGTTTCAATATGTTATGGTCTCGTATTTCGAGGCAAATAAATAGACTCGAGATGTTTTTGAGAAATGTACGTACTTTTTAATTTTCTTGCTCCTGTAACGATTGCGCATGCGCTCGGTAACCTCGATTCAATAAGACAAAAAAGAAAATGGCGGAAAGTTTAAAAAAACTAAAATTTTGTTGAGGAAAAACGACATTATAAACCTTACTTTCTTGGCCGGATAACATCTCAAAAATTGAAAAATACTTTGGAAAACGACATAGATAAAAAATTTACATAAAACTAAAACTGATCGGCGATAAAATAGAAACAGCTATATTAAACAACAAGTTTCAAAAGTGAAAAGACTTAGAAAACAACACTGAAAGGTGAGTTAAGTAAACTTGTTCTTATTTTAAAACCACTTCGATGTCAACTTTTCGAGTTTTCAGTGTATGAAAACACTAATATTCAGAAAAACAGTTCGACCGTTTTGAAGTTTTCTGTCTATCGATGGTTCTGTCCTTTCGGCCAAGGGTCAGAGACAATGGGACACAGAAATTTTTTGAATTCGTTTGGTTTCATGCGTTCCGTGTGAACTCGAAAGGCGAAATCATGCAAATTTTAAGCACAGTCCCGGACCCTTATAACTATATATAAAGTGCAGCCAAATTCGTGGGGGGGGGGTGTTAATAATCATCCTTACTTGCAGCTGAGAGCATTCTGAGAGCCAGACTGCCAGAGGCGCCGGAATATCGATAATAGACAATTCCCATTATAGACTAATTTTAAAACTTGGCAAGGAGAAACCATAGCTAGAAAGAACATACTAAAATTAGTAAATTTGCAAAGTTTGGTTGCGAAATGTTGTAAAATAAGGAAAATATAGCCTTGCAAAGTTCGCAAATTTTGTATACTTTTGTATTGCGTGCGGAAATTCCTACCACATTCCTACCACATTTAGACCGAAAATGGCCGCACGCAATACAATAAAAGTATAGAAAATTTGCGAACTTTGCAAGGCTATATTTTCCGCATTTTATAACATTTCGCAACCAAACTTTGCAATTTTACTCATTTTAGTATGCTCTTTCTAGCTGTGGTGATTTATTGGCATCTCCTTGCCTAGTTTTAAAATTAGTCTATAATGGGAATTGTCTATTGGGGGGGGGGGGGGGGGGGGG